TTGTTCGTAAATAAAGAGTTGTCGCAAATCTTGGCATGCTTTTTTTAAAGAAGTTTTTGAAATCTGACACTGTTTATTTTCAGCTTCCAATGAAAGTTGTAGTTAATTTTAGACGTTGCCCCCCCCCCCCCCCTCCCTCTTTAATGCACAAAAAATTAGATGTTACCCCCCTCTGGATTCTCAATCCCCCCACTCCTGATAAATATTGTGCAGTGACTTATAATGTTGAGCGCTGCCTGCACTCTATATTTTTTTATAACTCGTAATTTTTATGAATAGATGAAGATACACATGAATATGTGGACTGCAATGGAACTTATTCATATCTCAATAATTTGTGGTATGTGTTGTCCCGGTGCCCGGGGGTTGTCGTACTGAAAGCCTGAAAGTACAGCCCTGCGAGCTGAGGAATTCTTCCATCCCGCTTTTACGAAAAAAAACGAAAAATTTACTCTGAAAGTTTCGTTTCATAGAGTTAAATCGGGGACGGTGGCATCTTTTATGTCGTGTCCTTTGAAGATAGTCAGATACAAAAAAACAACTTCAGTCAGCACGCTCATTTTCATTAGCTTTACTATTTTAACATGTCTTCAAAAACTCATACATAATTAATGAGTTATTAGTCCAATAGAATGAGCCTCATTGGTCACATGCATGGACCTTTAGATCTGATAAAACACTCCTTATTAGTATTCTTTTTATTAAGAAGGTTTGAAACCTGATGATTGACCAATGCAGGATGTCAACTGATTGCAGTGAACAGCCAAGAGCGCTTCTATTTTACTTTACTTTTGTGAATGGCTCATCACAACTTTAAGAAGCCAATCCGAAGCAAAATTTATTTTTTTCCGCGGAAAATTTCGAACGGGTAGTTGCTTGAAAAATAAAAAAAGCTTGTATAGATGAGGTGACGGTTTCGGCCACCATTTTGTTCCGGTAGGCAAAGTGTCGCAAAATAACAAGGAATGACCGGGAAATCRATKTCAAATAATTCTCGCTGAATTCAAATTCAGAAAGAATTATCAATTGCAAACGTTAGATACCTCAAAAAGGAGTTAACGGGCAAAATTTGAAAGGCGTACTTGATCCGAGAGAGCGAGTAAACTCATTTTTAGTTCTCCATACATTTCTTTGTAATTTCAATACATTTCGTTATCATTTCCGGGGTCATCAGTGCGTGACGCGCGTGAAAAATAGCTGAAAAATAGCTACAACTAAAAATTACTCGCATCATGTCGATGCGGTAAAGTACTTCTTTGTTTCAGAGGATTAACATTGTTTGTCGAAAATGTGAATAATTTGATTCGCTCTATTAAGTGTATGTCAAAATACTGACATGTCAATGATCTTTGATGGATTTTTGTCCTAAACTACAGCTTCAAAAAAAAAAGTTATTATTTGAAGTGCAATAGAATGAATGCACGCTTCTGTTTCTGGTAACAATAAAACTGTTTTAAATTATAGTAAGTCTGGTAGCTTTTCAACATTGTAAATTGTATATATTATGATGAGCACCTGAAACTATTATCTGTGATTTCACCTTCCAATAAAGCTCAATTATCATTATTGTCAAATGAATAAATGATGTTTCTTTTTCTTAAGAAAAATGTTTCACTAACATTAGATATTATAAGAAAAATTGATCAAAATGCTTCAGCGCGGGATTAAAATATAAAAAAAAACATAGGCAACACTCGAAGAAAGCATACGTTAACTTACCGTCACTGAACGATGCATTTTCGCTGACAAAAAAAAATCCAGACAAGTTTCTGTAAGTTTGCCTGATTAATAAATATTATCCGACAAAAAATAAATAAACGAAAACAAAAGTTGATTAATATAAACGTCAACTCTAAACGAAAATAGAAATGACGTCATTTGGTTAGATCTGAGGAATTTCTTTTCTAAAAATAGATATGACGTGCGAGCCAGCTCTGAGTTTCTTAAGATAAGCATGACGTCATTTAAGTTTCTAAAACTAGTTATGACGTCATTGACACCGACTCCAAAAATAGATATGATGTCATGATGAAATTAGTGACGTCACGCGGTCACTAACGTGACGTCATCAGGGTGGATCCACTATCCACCCGATCCACCCGACGTAGAACCGCTATTTCCTATACTA